TATAAAACGCCATCTGTTGATTGGCTGGGAAACATCGGCGAACCTTCTAGAATTGTCCTTGAAAAAAAAAAAAAATTAAACGAGACGAGAAAATGCACATGAGATTTGTGTACGTGTTCTTGAATACACAAACACACACAGGTGTACACCCATTCACACACGCCACACATGGAATGTAGAAATATGAGATAAAGAATATAGATAACATTTTTCTGTTTGTAACCTGTGCATTGTTGCTGAGAGAAATATTTATGTAAGAGAAGAGTGACGAAGAACAAGTAAATAAACAAAAAAATCATGAAAAACAAACACAAATGAAGAAGAAAATAGATCGACAAAACCGTAGAATAAAAACAAAACTTGAGGAAATTGAAGTGAATACAAGAGCAAAGAAAATGTGATAAAAAGAGAGAAAACCCGCTACATCATGATTAGAAAGAAAGACGAGGAAAAGAGAAAGAGAGAGAGAGAGAGAAAAAAAAGGAAGAAGAAAAAAATTGACATCGATTTAGAGATAGACTTAGAAAAGCAATTATAAGATTAAGGGTTTTCCCATTATGGCGCCGTGTCCTTCTGCAGAGATCCAAGATGGCGGACGGAAAGAAGGGGGGGCGGGGGGGAGGGGGGAGGGCCTCGGGTGCACGCGACGCTTGCGGGTCTCAGGGGAGGGGGGGAGGGGGAGGGGTACATGCTTGTGTGTGTTTGCAGGTGTGTGTGTGAGTGTATATGAGTGTATGTTTCTGTCTGCCCGTACGCACGCGCGTACTCACACAGACACACTCACACACCCATGTATATATGTACACACACACAACAACACACACATATATATATTATATATATATATATATATATATATATATACTATATATAATATATATATATATATATATATATATATATATAATATAATATATATATATATATGTATATATATATATATATATATATATATATATATATATTATATATATATATATATATATATATATATACATATATAATATATATATATATATATATATATATATATATATAATATATATATATATATACATATATATCAGACCACCGTAATACCTATGTGCTCAAAGGATCACCAAGATGGAACACACCAGGAGAGAAGCGTCATAATTGTCATAATTGTCATAATTGTCATAATTTCTCTAATATCGTGTTTCCAGGACAATCGGCCGACCACCTCTAAAGGTTCCAAGTCGATATACTTTCTGTTCGTTTGTATGTATGTTGTTTGTTTGTATGTATTGTTTGTTTGTTTGTTTGTATGTTGTTTGTTTGTTTGTTTGTTTGCTTGTTTTTTTGTTTGTTTGTTTGTTTGTTCGTTTGGTACAAAGACAGGCTGATGGGTATTGCAGTGTTGTCATATGCATATATTGTATGAATATATAGTTTTATTATATGTTTTGCATATGTATGAGTATATATGATAGACTGAAATATTTATGGATAAGTATGAAACATGTGGCATATATATGTATATGTATATATATATATATGTGTGTTATGTGTGTGTATTATATATATATATATATATATATATATAATATTATATATATAATATATATATATATATATATATGTGTGTGTGGTGTGTGTGTGTGTGTGTGTGTGTGTGTGTGTGTGTGTGTGTGTGTGTGTGTTGTTGTGTGTGTATATAGAGAGAGAGAGAGAGACATGCGGAACTTTATTTTTATGTATTATATGGCACTATATATATATATATATATATATATATATATATATATATATATATATATAATATATATATAACAAACCACACAGAGACACAAGTAAAATAATTTATATTACTTTATGCAAAACATGCAAATGGTGTCTGCAATTAAAAATACAGTTTAAAACACATAACGAAGGATATATAATATATATATATATATTATTATATTATATATATATATATATACATATTTATATATATATTATATTATATAATACTTATATATATTATATATATATATATAAACTATATATTATATATATATATATATATATATATAAAAGATTTTTCTTTGTTTTTTAATACTTATGGTTTCCCTTTTAGTTAATGCGTTTTCTGTTTGTTTGTTTGTTTTCGTCTCTGATATTCATTCTTAATAATTCAAATCAAAACATGATAAGAATAACGAATACTAGATGATAATAAAAAATAACACAAAATAATAAAGAATATCTTAAAGCGAAATGTAAAAGAAGAAAAATATTGGGAAAGAAAATAATCAGAAATTTGAATATAAAGTAGATCAGAGAATTAAATAAATTAAATAAATGACCACGAAAAGAGTCTGGAATTCCAAAGATGGGTCTCCATAAATTTTCCAACATAGTTTTCCGCCAGAAGCCTTGTCCTATACCCCCTCCCCCACCCCACCCCCCACCTCTCAAAAGAAAAAAAAAAATCCACCCCCTTTCCCCACATTGGCCTTTCTCTTCTCTCTCCCCCCCCTCTTGCCCCCCCTCTTCTCTTCCCCCTTTTCTCCCCCCTCTCCCTTTCCCTTCTCCCCCCTCCCCACCCCCCCACCACGCTCTCTTTACACTACCCTACTTCCTCCTTCTACTCCCCCTCCTCTCCCCTTCTTCTCCCCCCTCGTCCCTTTTCCTCCCCTTCCCCCTCTTCTTCCCTCCCCCTTCCCCCACCCCCCACCCCGCTTCTCTTACCCAGCTACCCTCCTTCTCTCCTTGCTACTCCCCCCCCTCTCCCCTTCTTTCCCCCCTCTCCCTTTCCTTCCCTCCTCCCCTGCTTCACCCCTCCCCTCCCCAACCCCCTTCCCGCTCTCTTTTACACTACCCTCTCTTCCTCCTTCCCCTCTCTTTCTTCCCCCTCCTCCCCCTTCTTTCTTCCCCTCCCCCCTCTCTTCTTCCCCCCTCCCCCTCCTCTCCCCACCCCCCAACATCCAAGTCAAGGTGACGCCCACAAACGTAGGTCACGTGACACCGCCTCCTTTGCCCGGCTACCCAGATGTGCGAATAATCTGCATAGGGTTACG